CACTGCCTCAAGACCTAAATTTTCATTTGCCTATTCTAATCACCTCACTTTCTAAATACTCTTAATAAATTGTAAATTTAAATTAGTTACCATAATTTACTGATTAATTTACAGATGCACATACAAGAATGAGGGTCAAGTCTCACAGAAAACTTAAAATACTATGTACAGCAGTGACAGCAACTGACTTCTATTTTACACCCTTCAAGAGCGCTCCAAGGCCTGCAGAGTCTCTGTGTTCTGGTGTATTCCTACCACCTTAAAATAGCATTGTAACAGAAATTATTTCCAGGACCTATCATATTGAGAGAACAGAGAAATCAAGCTTTTAACACTGATGTGGTTTAAAAGGGAGAAAAAAAAAAAAAAAAAAAGGGGGGGGGAGGGGAGCTCCTAAGAGCAAAAGGACTTACATTTTTAAAAAGCAGTACCACTCAAAATATATCAAGCCAAAAATATACTTTTTGATTTTACTGTACATAGGAGCCATCCTATTAAATCTTCCTCCTCTCCCATGTTATTACTTTAATTTGAAAGGTCCTGTGAAATAAAAATACTGTGTTCAGTTATTACTTTAACTGCAAGTGCAGTAAATCCAAATTAAATTGGAATTACTGAGACAGTTCTCATTAAAGAAACTCCCCCATTCTTTAACCCAGAACAAACTGGGGTATGCTGAACTAATCATGTAATACTGAGAGGTATGTTGAGGAATCTGTTTTCAACAGAAGAAACATTTTTTTCAGGAAACTGAAATTTAACACTATACTGCGGTTTAAAGGCTACAGTGTAACATGAAAACCTCTTGTTCATTACGGTTCTTTCTTTTCAGGAGCTGAATTTAGCAGGATCATTCACAGGATGAGTAAGAAAACTAGTGTTTCAAAACACGTCACTGGAGGAAATTCTAGTGAGGAGGACAAAGTAGCAATCAGCTGGAGTGGTATTTTTGTTTTCCACAGCAGACCGGCTCTTTCAACAGAGAATTACCCACAGCAACAACTATATTCACAAACTCTCACAACTGTTTAACAGATGTCAATGTACCAGTGACACAGCCCAAGTTGTTGGCTGCTTTTCTTCTTCTTTCTCCAAAAGGCAGAAACTCTTTTTGAGACAAAGCAACCATTTTACTTTTCTATGTCAAAAAAAAAAAAAATCAACAATGACAGTAATTCTTCTATTGAACTAGGTGAAAAATAATTTAAAATATAAATGCCACCTTCTTCTGGTGTTTTCTAAAGCCTGGTTGTAGGCCCCACATGCTGCTGCAGTTCTCATACAGTTCTCTGGAACAAATTTTTAAATATACTGTTCTGCACGACTGCCATTCTACACATACACAGTATTACCACCTATTGCCTATGCTTTTTTCATAGCCCCTTTTAATTGCCACAAAATTTACAGTTTAAGAGGAAATCAGAAATAAACCGTATTCCCCTCAGAAACAAAAAAGATATAGGTATTAAGTTTCAAAATACAATCACAGCTGTCATACAAGTTGGTATAACACCTGACAGCAGAATTTTCAGCACACTCTCAAGAAAAATGGCTTTTCAAAGATAAGATAATTTTGGAGGCTTTTCAACTGCATCATTTCAAATAATTTTATGAACAAACATCTATCTGTTCCACACCTCAGTGAATTCCCTAGATCGTGTTAACCCTAAGTATATCACTTGTACTTTAGAACAGACAGAACTCTTAGCAGTGCTCTTAGATTTACAAAAATCAGTCTCAAATTCAGTTAACTGAGACACCTAAATCTCAGTTCCAAAAAAAAAAAAAAAAGATAAGCGAAGCATTAGTAAGCATCTTTAGCTATGTCGCCTTTCAGGATGCTACACTGCGATCTTCTCACACGACGTAAAAGAGCAGCTTCATATTTGTTACACTGCCAACTTCCCTGAAAGCAGAGGGCCGGCCATCGCCTTCACGCAGGTCACTCTTCGGCAGCAGGACTCCTGTTTGTTTATTTAACAAGGCTTAAGGCTGTCCCCAAGTCGCCGCAGTGCCAGCCTTACCGACAAGGCGAGGGAAAAGGGCTGGCCAACAACTCACCGGCTTACTGGGGTACACCTTGGAGAGGTGGGACTTCAGCTTGCCCACAGTCCACTCCAGAAAGCAGCTGATGGTCTGGTCGGTGTATTTCTGGTTGGGGGCCTTGATGATCAGGGTCACCGGGTGCTCCACCACGCTCTGGTCCATGCTGCCCACGGGGCCGGCCGGCCCTGCCCCGCTCTCCTCCTCCTCCTCCTCCTCCTCTCGGGGGACACGACCCTCGAACCTTCTGGGGGGCTCCGGGCGGGTTCAGCGGCCGGGGGCGAACTTCCCGGGGGAGCTGGGGGAGCCCATCCCCGTGCTGGCACTCCGGGAACCCCAGCCACAGGAGATCACAACCTCGTCCGCCACGCCCAAGGAAGAAGAAACAACGCGGCACCCGGAACGCACGGGCCCGGGCCGAGCCCCTCCGGCCGCTGCCGCCGCGTAAAATGGAGGCCGGACCCAAGTCCTTCTCCCCAGGGCTGTTCTCCATCAGTTCATCCCCCAGCCTGTGCTGATACCAGGGGTTGCCCCAACCCAGGTGTAGCACGTTGCACCTGGTCTTATTAAATCTCACTAGATTCCTGTGGGTCCACTTCTTGAGCTTATCCAGCTCCCTCTGGATGGCATCCCAGCATCCCTCAGTCTGGTGTCATCTGCACATTTGCTGAGAGTGCACTCAGTCCCATTGTTTATCTCATTAATGGAGATATTAAATAACACTTGTCTCAATATGGACTCCTTATGTTGCTCAAAAATTCTGTCTAAAACCATAAAATAAGCTTCTGAGTTTCCAGGTTAGCATTGCAAACATTTGTCATCAATGTGGCTTTTCATTTCTGGGAAAAAAATACCTTAAAGGATAACCATCAAGGTGGATGGATAAAATGACAATGAATAAGGGAAAAGTTCAGTTCATGATACTTCTACTGAATCTTTACAATAAAAGTTGACCTCATTGACTTGACAAAAATTTTAAAAAGGTTATAAAAACCCAGATTGTCTCTTGAATAAACAAACAATGTTTCCTTCTATTCCCTTCTGTCATCAAACACTGTATGTAGCTACAGACAGCTCAAGAATTTCAGACAGGTTTGATTTTTCCAGTTGATAGTGTCCCTTTAATGCCAAAGAATCAGACCTTTAATTAAGCTGGAGGGAGGCATGAAGAAGTTTGCTAATGAAGAGAGTACCATAAGGAACTCCAGTGTCTGAAGGGAAAGATAAAAAGAAAAGCCTGAAGGAATATCATTAGCCCCCAGGACCTATTTCTCCTGTTTAAATAAAACACGGATGCAGACAACTAATGTTAGAATTTGCAACAGCAAAGGAAGCAGTCCTTATTTTTATGTTCATTGACTTTTAATTACCTTTCTGTACACCTTTGCAAACCTTATGTCTGAGATGGAGCATGAGACCTCAAGTGTGTTCCTACAGCACCTGTTGTCTTTGAGATGGCTTATCAGATTGTAAATGTGGACAACTGGTACTTGACAGCCCCTTCAGCGACGACGCTTGACATGCCCATACCAGCTTCCCAGTTCCCTCCCTTGTTCTATAAGAGCAATTGTTTGCTCTTGAAATTCTGATCATGCTGTCACTACCAGAGCATGTACTTGGAATTTCTGGGAATTTCCAAGAATAAACTAGAATTTCCAAACACCTGGCAAATATTTGTACATAAGGCAATGGATCAGCTAGCTGATCCTGGGCACTTGGAAGGATTAATTCACAAAAATCAAGTCCGCAGATAGTCCGCAGAATTTTTCATTCAGACTGGTTGAAATTTTATAGCTTGACAATTTGGTGGTCTGTAAATACACACTGTATTTCTACAGTGCACATTTTAACTGCTGTACAAAATTTCAGACTTGGGACGGCTGTGAAATCTCCTGAGTTAGAACCTGAGAACAGTAAGATCTCTTCTGTGGTGGCATTTTAGAAGCTGCATGATGTGCCAGCTCTGTGAGCAGATCCCTGCACTGTGCACAGGCCCACGGGGGACAGCATGACACTTGCAACGATCTCATTTTAGGACTAAAACTTAAAACCTTGTAAAAATGGCTCAGCATTAATTTATGCTCCAGAAAATCAGACTCGTAGAATTATAGAATGATTTGGGTTGGAAGGAACATTAAAGATCATAAAGGGCATAAATGTCTTATATTGTGAGGTGTCATATCATACCAAGAGTCCATTTGATATTTTAACGTGCAAGAAATTATGTTGTTATTCTTAATATTTCTCTGGCTTGACATACTTTGACACATCCACAGTAATCTTTTTGCATATTTCTGTTGTCTGTGATATCTCTGTAGTTCAGAGGAAAAATTACGGTAAATCTTTAAGAATGCCAAAACTTTTCTTATTTGTAAAGGAATTCATGCATTAAAATGTTATAAAAGACTGAGGGATCATCTTCTGACTCTTGAAATGTCTGAAGCAGGTACCTGATTTGAGAGTTGGGCCTTCTTATACAGCCACTAGCCTATCCACAAGGAAATTCATAGCCTATGAGATCCTGCATCTCCAAGCTCTTAACCAAGGCACAGAAACATGTATAATGAAATCATTAGAGAGCATCCAAAGGGGGCCATGAAGATGGTGACTGGTCTACAGGGGGAATTCATATAGAGAGTAGCTGAGGTCACTGGACTGGAGGAGACTGCAGGAAGCCCTGATTGCAGACAGCAGCTTCCTCACGAGGGGAAGCAGATGGGCAGGCACTGGTCTCTTCCCTGTGGTGACCAATGATGGGGCTTGAAGGAACAGCATGAAGCTGTGCCAGGGGAGGTTTAGGTTGGGCAACCACCACAGAGTGGCTGGGCACTGAACAGGCTCCCCAGGGAAGTGGTCACAGCACCAAGCCTGACAGAGTTCAAGAAGTGTTTGGACAATGCTCTCGGGCACATGGTGTGACTCTTGGGGTGCCCTGTGCAGGGGCAAGAGTTGGACTCGATGATCCTTGTGGGTCCCTTCCAATTCAGGATATTCTGTGATTCTGTGATTCTAGTCCATGCTGATATCCATTTATCATGCTGGAATAGATCAAAATCTCAAGTTATTGGCAGTAAAATACCATCTCTGTTTCTCAATTATTTTTATTAATTTATTTATCTCCTGATAAGGTAGTATACAGTATAAAAACTTGGATCATTTATTTTTTCATTCCTCTGCAGAAGCCAGCAGGGCTCAGCTTAGGCGCTGTAATGTGAAGTAAAATCACAGCAGTTTTAAGCCGAGTAACAAGCTGAGTTGCAGTGAACATATTCAGCCTCTTCTGTTATTTATACTAATAGTAGGGGTCATGTGAAATCTCTGACCTGTATGTGGGATGACAACCAGAAAGAACTTGAGAATCTCTATGCTCAGACACATCAGTTTTCTCTAAGACTTTTTAAAAACTCTGCCTTACCATGAAACAATCACAATTCCCACATTCCTTCTCCAGAACAAATGACTTTGAGAAAATCAGTATTTCAGTCCTTGCCAATATTTTTTCTTATAAATCACAGAATTTACATTTCAGTTAATGATTTGGAAAACATGATTGACGGGGAAGAAAGAGTGGGTTTGTGCTGTTTTTGCTCCGTTCAGTTGTATACATGCAGCCAGAGTGGTTTATTCCTTAAGAAAACTAAGGGAAAGGTCATGTTCACATGGGTTTTCTCACTCTGAAAGTGTGTATCATCTCCTCAGTACTAGAAATATTACAATTCCCAACAGTACTATAGGAATTTCCATAATGGATTTCCATCAGCAAAAATGTCTCTGTAAGCCTTTTTGTTGCCATATTAACAGCACTGACAAACAGGTTTGGCTACATGTCTTTTGACAAGAAGTGTGCGATTTATTAGTGATATTTCTGATATTTCTGTAAGCAAACGAGCTGAAATGCATATGTTTTTAAATATAATAATGGGCTTCTCAGTTTGTTTGGGTTTTTTTTTTTTTTTTTGTCAGGACTTATGCACTTATGTTTTCTATATATACCAGTTGATCCTTCCTCTAAACTTTTAACTCAGTGGCCAATTTCCATCAAACATCACAAGGGGTAGCAGGCTATTAGGAGAGAGAGAAACTTTACAAAGTATTCACTGATAAGAAAGCTAATAATCTTTCTCCTTTCTAGCCACCAGAGAATTCAAATGGAGAAGACTGGCAGAGAAATACAGAATTACTTGTTTTCACTTGCAAATCATTTAAAGAAGAGACAGTTTAAGGCCCTACAAGTCTGCAAGGGTGGCAGGCAAACATTTGGCAACATGGAAATGGGCCTCTGAAAGAAAAATAAAAATTATTTCAAATACTTAATTTAAAACATTTTAGGAATAAAATGGCCATTGGAAATCTATCAAAACCTGCTATTATCTCAGGGGGTTTTTTTAGATTAGCATTTGTTTTTGTAAAAAATACTATTTCCATTTAGCAAATTCCTTGTCTTTTAAAACTTCAAATAATTCTAAGACATTATGAAGGAAAATTTGAGCCAAATCAGCATCTCTACAAAGAATGATCTCTAAATACAGGAAATTCTACTGATACAATTGATTTTTAACTTTGAAAAAGCCTCTGGCCTTACTACCCACAAGAGGCTGATGAGATCAGTGCTGTGATCCAGCTTCTGCTTCCATCAGTAGCATTCTTTACTCATGTGATGCCCCATTAACATTAAGGGACCTATCAGTCTGCCCACATGAAAGAAACTGCAGTCAGCTCCCACAAAGACACTGATAGGGTAGTATATGATAAAATGACACTAAGACCTGAAAAAGTGTTTCTCACTCTAAATGTTTCCTTGTTTTCTGCTACATGCTCAACTTCCTTTTGAGGTTTATAAGCCCTTTGGAGCAGAGACTATTCTCCCCAGTGCCTGGCTGTAGACCAAGCAACTTGTGTTTTATGGACATGTATGAAACGTGGGAGGTGCATAACTGTCTGCAGGAGCTGGGGCTTTTTTGTGCATCATGGCACAGCCCATGCAGCCCCACAGTTCTAGGTCCATAACCATAGAAGCAATAAACCCAGAAGGATCTCTCATAATTTGAGAACAAAGCGATACTTAATTAAAATAAGAAGAAACAAAGTGTGACACTTTTTTCGTAGTTCTTTTTACAACAGCATATAATTAGTCTGTGGATCTTGCTATCTAAAGATACTCCCAAGCCCCAGTTTTGAGGGCAGTGTCAGGAAGCATTTGATTAGGGAAGGGCATAGTTCATGGTAGGAAAGGAGTAATTTGTCCCCCAACTAAGCAAGTGCAGACTGAAAAGGTGCCTGTTTCATTCTCCATAGCATACAAGCTATGTTGAAGCATTGCCAGTAAGAGTATCATTCCTCTCACCTCCAGGAAGCAGTAATGGATTCCTATGAATCAACGGCAATGTAAAATTTGCTGTCACTGAAGATCACCCCTTCCTATAGTCTTATTTTTTCCTTTGAGTGTGGTCAGGGCTAAAAACCTAAGGAAAAAAAACCCAAGAGACTTGATAGTAGCCAGAATTTTTCATGCTCAAAGGAGAAGTTCCCCTGAAACCTGATAGGTTTGTGTCAGCATCTTTAATTTCAGCTCAGGACAACACAGGCAGAAAAAGGGATGCAGGCATCTCCTGGCACATGCTCAGATAACTGGCACCTGCACAGTAAGTGTGACATGCTCCAGATACCTTGAATTTTTATTCACTTCAAGTACAGTTGATCTTTGTATGTGTGCTGGCCAGTTATCAGGACAGACATCACTTGGCCTGCACTACTGCACATCTACTCAGGTTGCTAGCTATTCAGAAATCCCAGACATAAGACCAAATTCCTGGTTTTCTGTGTCAACAAAATTTGGGGGGTGGGGGCGAGAAAGGACATGCATGGAAAGAATTAAGATATGTAGGTGAATACCCAGCTTTTCATGAAAGAAGAGATTGCTCCTCCACTAAGCAGTACGGTGGTGTTTGTTGCTGAGCACCTCCCCAGCTCCTGGAACATGGCACAAGGGAATTACAAGGGCAGAGCAGCGCAGCACTGCCAGTTCCAAGCTTTCTTCATGGCCCAGCATCTCCTGTCAGTGGCACCTGTGGACAAGGAATAGAATTAAGAGCATGGTTATGGCAGAATTGTCTGGATGAGAACAAGGTGTGGCAGGCTCAGTGATGAAAATGCTTGGAATTAGCAAGGCAGCTCCTCCCTGCTTGCAACTCTGGTGTAGCCATTACCTCCTGGCAGTATCCCTTGCAGCAATGCCCTCAGGATTTCTCTCTCCCCCTGTGTCATATACTCTGTGTGTCAGTGCTACAAGGGTGATAATAGCCACACGAGTAATTTATTAATTGGCAGAAGAATGTGAAATGCTGAGAATGTGTCTTTGTGAAGGGGCAGAGGAAAAGAAAACCTTTAAAAACTGCCAGTCTAATGATTACAAAATATCTACCTTCCCTCGTTCTTGTCCTTATTTGCCTTATTATTATTTATAACAAAAATTATCAAATGCTTGCTAAGTTTTACCCAGTCTCTAGAAAAGAAGCCATCGTTCTTCAGAATGATTTATCCTTTTTGACGTTCCGGTCTTACAGGTTTGCAGATGTCACAGCTCATGACTGGAGACTTACAGACTCTAACTAATAACTTTACTCATGAGCAGTCCCCAGGAAAATTCATGCATCCATTTCAGTGCATAGGTATTTACAGAAACAAGATCCAGTTGTCCTGGAAATCCATATATTTTGTATATTTATATTTTGTTATGTCTGAGTCATTGTCTCATGTCTGTTGTGATGACACTCTCATATTTTTTGAGTGGAAACAAGCTGGTTTAGATTTTGCTTCCAAATATTTTGTTTCCAAATGCTTTTCTATTCTTGTTTGTCTTTTTAGGTGTCATCCTGACATCTGTACTCTGAAAAATATAACCTTCTCAGTCTGAAATGCTGTTCTTCCAGCTAGAAGATTTTATAATAACATTTATCTCTGTCCACTAAACATCACACTCTTATTTTAAGAGAGATTTTACAAGTTCTTGAATATCATAAGAAGAGTCTTGAGTCTCTGTTTAAAGTTTCAAAAGCTTCTTGCTCATATATGTGGAGCTTTACATTGTGTTCTGAGAATCTATAGTCACGTCTCATTTACAAGAGCAAGATACAATGAAATAACCTGGGGGCGGGGGGGTAGGAGTGTTCTTTTACCTGCAGTTCTTGATGCCTTGGCTTTTGTTTTATCTAAAAATTGCAAAGGGTGAATTCAGCCTATAGGTTGTGTAAGCAATAGGGGTTAAACCTAGTTATAATTTAATTCAAGCCATGCTGAAGTGGTTGCAAGAGGAAGAAAGACACAATTTCCTCATAGTGACACTTCAAAGAGAAGTCTTAGCCGTGTAAATCTGGATGCTCCAGTTCTAGCAAGGAATCCTGTGTGTGTGTGTAATCAGCCTTCTTCCTAGCAGAGCACTCAGAGCTTCCTCAGGAGCACTGCAGGTCACACGGCTCCTCCTAAACCCAAGGGGGATCGTGGGACTTCACATGCCATTTGTCAAGACCAGGTTCTACAAGCTGTCGTGAGGGCTCTTGGGCAGAGTCAGTTGCTCTGGCCAGTCTTGATCCCTACAGTCATTTCATAACAATGCCACACTTCTTATACTGGCAGTCTGCTGTTTGACTGCATTTGCCCGAGTGCCTTTTGGACTGTTCAGCCAGCTACTTGTGCAGCAAGCATGCCAGGTATTTTCTCAGTTTGCTGGCACAGACATTGTTCCTGCTGAACCTTACATGATTATTAACCAACAGAGGGTTGGTAAGAGGGAGCTTCTTGACATCTATCCAGGATCTAGATGTTACCATAACATAAATGGTCTTTAAATTCAGTATTTCAGGCACTTTCACTCCATTTTCACATCTGTCATTTTAAGTTGCATGAACTTGAAAGGTTCTTTGTTTGTTTGCTTTTATGAGAGTCTTTGGCAAGACATGGACTTCCTGCAAGACTCCATGGTCCTAGAACATGCAAGCCCTCAGGTCACACAGCACACAGGGTGTTTCATGTCAGGCTCCGTTTTCAAACACCTGCATCAGCACACAGCCTACAAACAGCTCCTAAACACAATTAAAGATCCTCTATTATTCCCAAGTCAAAGATTCCCATGTCAAAGATTCCCATCCCCTTATTTTGCCAGATTGCTCCAATAACATTGTGTTGATGTCCAGAGTGTTCTTCTGCCTTCCACAGAGTAACCAGTGTTCAGCAAACACCAAGCTTGCTTCTCAACCGTGAGTTGTGTTGCCATCTCATGCTTGGGAAAATAAATGGCACATGCTTAGGAGTGCTTATTCACGCAGGTACTTAACCAGATGTCAAAGCGGTGAGTAATAGGGCGACTCAGCAAGTTGCTATTCGGCTATTAACTGTGTGCTTCAGTAATTAGCTTCTGCTGAAAACCAGTTCTCCACAGGCCAGAATTTTAGGGTAGAAATGGCAAGTTAAATGAGAAGCACACAGAGATGCTGTGGTTAACCTTGTCAGTCAGTAGATGGCTCTGTTGCTTCTAGCCATCTTCAGGGAGCAGCGCTGCATCGCCATGGCCAAGGAGAGCGCTCTTCCCCGGGGATACAAGGAGCCACTGACTGCTCACAGACCTTTTCACTTCGTTGTTTCCAAATGGTTCAATTTGCACACAGTATTGTTCATCTATTTTTTTTTTTTTTTTTTTGAAGGTGTTTGTTAGTTGCACAAAATCTTTGTTAACTCTCTGGTTGAGCCGTCTACGCATTGCTGTTTCATACACCTTAGCTTAAGTAATTGTCTGTTCTTGACATCACCACAATTTCACAGCAACAGGTTACAAATGCCCCACTGGGAAGGAACGGGTTATTGAAACTGTTTCGAAGTGGACCGTGAGTTTCTTCAGTTGTGTATTCATAGTCACTGTCCTGGCTCCTTCTCATTCTCACCTTGTGGCCTAGCAATTGTGGAAGTGATGGGCTTCCTGTCAGCTTAAAACATGGCAACACTCACATCACCAAAAAATTACAATTGCTTCTTTGATTAGCCCCAGCAGAGAGAATGAATAAACACAGAGTTCAAGCTACTCTTCCCTTCCAAAGAAACAGTCACACCAAATTGGAATTGTAGGAGACTGCCAGGGCATCAGGAGGAAGCTTGGAGTGTTAGGCTCCTTCTATTCTGCAGATAAAAACAACATTTCAGTTACCCAGAAAATCTATTAATGAGTTTTCTCATGCATTAAATGACCACACAAAACCCTCTTCTCCTCTGTCCTAAAAACACAAGCTAGTATGATGCCAGAACTCAGTGGTGGCAGAATTTGCAATGGGCACAAGGAGATTATGTTGGCTGCAATGGAAAGAAATGAAAAAAGAGACAAGTTTATTATTTGGCAGTTGTGGGAAGATACAGCAAAACTAGTAGCAGAGGTAAAAAGTTCAGGAAAAAATAGTAAACACTTTCAGATGCAGGTGGATTAATGTTCAGAAGGTGGTCATATCATCTGAGCTCCTGGAGCAAGGAAAGCAGGTCCTGTAGGCAGGATCTGCAGTCCTCTGGAAGCACTGGGAATGTTTTTATGGGTTTCAATAGCCCGTAGAGCTGCCAAATGTTGTGCATTTCACTCAGGCCACTGAGGACCTTCTCACGCTGGCCTGGCTTTCAGCTGGTTTCTCAGGCACTCAGGCTGGCAGTGGGAAAATGTGTCAGGCTTTTGGCTTGTAGTTCTGTCTTTGGACTGTTAGGGGCCCCCATGGCTCTACTCCTGTGTAATCATGACCTGTCTGTAACTGGAGTATGGCCCTAAGCAGTGACCCAGAACAAGGGTACCAGGATAAAGGTTCCCAAGCTGACACATCTATGTCAGTGATGGCAGTATCCCCAATATTTTGCTTCACAGGTAAAGTAGCTTCTACCTCTGGAAAGCCCAAGTCAGAGCATCAACTCCTTTTCTCACCCAGCAATGTCTGACTCATTCATTATCCTTCTGCACTGCAACCACATGGGTCTGATGTTCTCTGTGCTTCCCTCCTGCTTGGTGACCATCTCTTCCCATTAATGCCCTTTCTACTTCCCAGTAGCATCCATCTGGCAGCCCTCTTCAGCACTGCACTAGCCCACACCTCTGCTCTACACTGCTTAAAGTAATGTGTGTTGCCTGCTAGTCTGAAAATTGTTTGCAAGCAGGTGTAAAATTGCACACAGAGACGTGGCACCTTTTGGAATCACTGTTTCAGTCCCAGTCTGGGGCAACATAATGAGGACAATAATAATCACAAAATCAAAGAAACAAGTTTTCAACTTGTGAAAAATGCCTGCAGTTAAGGAATGACTGCCCAGCATGTGGAAATGAATAACCAGGGTCTGGAACAAGATAGGATTTATATTGACATAGATTTCATACTGGATGACAAAAAAAACATCAAACAGATTGAAAAAGCAGAGGAATTTATCTAGAAAATGCTGCCTCACAGATCTATGAGAATATGGAACGTTAAAAATCCATATTCAATGAGGGGTCAAGGGAGATATTTAACCTTTCTTGAGCTGTACATGTATGAAAACTTGACTTAGATGATTACAAGCTTTAAAGAAGGCTGACCCATTTTGCTGTTTAAAATATTCTGAGACTTCCATGGAGACATATCTGATGCCACCTATATATAATGACCTAGATTTTAAAAACAGTTGGGAAGCAGACGTCTGGAAATCTGCTGTGAATTTTAACGTTTTCCATGCAAAGATGCAGTGTAAACTGGCAGTTTAATTTCTCCTATGAAGGACCAAATGCATTTAGGGCTTCCCAGTTATATAATTAGGAATGTCATATTTGGAAGATGACTGTGAAGTGACAACAGAGCCATCCTTTCCCTGCCAGATTCCTATCCTAAAGGATGCTCAGGTAAGCACAGGTCTAATGCTATCTAATAACTGTATGGTTGTCTGTGTGCCATATCTTAATGGCTTATTAATAAATGGGTGTCAGTGGCACAAAATTCACAGGCACCACTAGTGCCTGCTGGCTGAGTTCCCACAGTGACCGACTAATGGAGCAGTGAAGAGAATGAATTGCTTTGCC